CATTTATTTATAGCGTGTTAATCTTCTTGCGGTGACCTGTTTGATATGGGATCCATAGCGACGTACACAATGCGTGTAAAATACAATATTTATTTACATTGTCTATACTGCACTTTATACTTTCATTGTTTTTCTACATTAAAACTGCACAGTGGATTCAATTGTAATAGCGATATTATTAATACCAAAGTCCATTATAAATAATTTATTTATTTGAAACAGTATTTATAGAAACCACATTCAGGAGAACACATCCACTCAGGCTTACCACATTCAGGAGAACACATCCACTCAGGCTTACCACATTCAGGAGAACACATCCACTCAGGCTTACCACATTCAGGAGAACACATCCACTCAGGCTTACCACATTCAGGAGAACACATCCACTCAGGCTTACCACATTCAGGAGAACACATCCACTCAGGCTTACCACATTCAGGAGAACACATCCACTCAGGCTTACCACATTCAGGAGAACACATCCACTCAGGCTTACCACATTCAGGAGAACACATCCACTCAGGCTTACCACATTCAGGAAAACACATCCACTCAGGCTTACCACATTCAGGAGAACACATCCACTCAGGCTTACCACATTTAATATTACAGAGAAAGACAACCAACAACGAAGAGCAGAAGATTTTTTTTATAACTCACCTCAGTTATTCTACCCACGACAACGTCACCAACTTCTCCATTATATCTAAACAACATAAACAAAATAATCAAAAATAGTCACTATGTAGCTAGTATCTAGCCAAATACTGTAAAATGACTAATTTTCACTGGGTTTAAATTTCACTGATTTACCATTTCAGGCATATTCAGTGGGTTTTAAATTCACGGTTTCGTCATTAAGATAATGTGTTCTATGCTAAATTTTACATATTCACTGTGTTTTAATTTAGCGCATTTTTCCAGTCAGTGAAATAAGCTAAATTAAAACCCAGTGAATAATTACCCCCTTTACAGTAATACATACCGGTAAGTAGATATTTATTTACAAACAATTTGTAAAAGTGGAAAGTATAATGCAAATAAATAGCATAAGTATTCTTTCCTGTCTCTTGTATAAAATGGTCATTTAAAATTTCTCAAATAGTGTACAATATGAAGCCTAGAACACACTCCCACCATATATTGTATTAGATGTGAGTAACTTGATTTCTATCACAATGTTTGTCTTTAATATTTGGTATTAGCGAGAGTTTCCCCACACCACATTTACTCACTAGATGACCACTACTGGTAATAACCTGTTACAAAATAAATAAACACAAAACAACCAACTTTAATTGAAAACCAAAAGAGGACATTAGACCAAAAGAAAATACTGCATCTGGACACAGTATCTCAACAATTGGCAGTGGTAGGAGCAACAAAAACACGAAGTGATAGTGTATTTGTAGAATGAAATGCACTGTGGTAAAAGAGATTCTATAAGTGGCTAAAAGATGTAGATCAGTAAAAGAAGAAATTAATGTACTGTAAAATACATTATTTTCACTTGGAAATAATTTTCGCTATTTTCGCTGACAATAAAATCCAGCGAATATACTTTTTTTTCAATATTTTACATTTAACTCATCAAAAATCAGTGAAAATAAATAAAAAAAAGTCTTTTCAGCGAAAATTAATTCCAGCTAAAATAAAGTATTTTACAGTTTATAATAGAAGTTAGGCGAATTCTGCCTGTATAAAATTCATTAGATCAATTCAATACTGAGTGTAAACAGACATAATGATTTTGAAATTAAAAAAAACATATTTACACGTACAAATTAAAAAAAAAAAACTTGAAGAAACAGTAAACAAATTGCACATATACTATTAGCGGTCACCCTGGTAATTTTTGTAGGTGTCAGAACATTTTTGTATGCGAGGGACAGTAAATAATTTATAATCCACAGATCTACAAATAATGCATCAAAAATGCTGACCTATTTAGCTTACCCGGAGTAAACCCGGAGAGGTACTGTAAAATGACTAATTTTCACTGGGTTTAAATTTCACTGATTTACCATTTCAGGCATATTCAGTGGGTTTTAAATTCACGGTTTCGTCTTTTAGATAATGTGATCTATGCTAAATTTTACATATTCACTGTGTTTTAATTTAGCGCATTTTTCCAGTCAGCGAAATAAGCTAAATTAAAACCCAGTGAATAATTACCCCTTTTACAGTAAGTCACAGAGTATGACTTGTTAAAGGAAATAAACACCAAATAAGTAATAATCCTCCTCAATACACCATGTTTGAGGGTTATTGTTGATATAACAAACACAAATAAAACACCTTATTTTGAAAATGAAAATGAAAACTGTCACCCAGTTGACAAAATAATTTTGTAATACTGATATCAGTAGAGCCCTGTCCAAATGTACAAAGGTCAATTGGCTAGGAGCCACTTCTTAACAGATGTTTAGTAAGAGGTCTAAAAATTATAAATTTATAAACCCCATTAAAATGTCTGTACAACTTGCTTAAAAAGACGTACATGCTATTATAAAATTAAAAATACAGCAACATCCCGATTTCCCAAATTCCATGAGAAAAAAAGTGGGAAAGAAAGAAACCAAGCTAGATTTAAAAAGAGTTTCAGAGCTGTCTCTGGAACTAATATTATTTCTGACTCTTTAAAACTTTCATCAAGGGTAAACAGTGCCAACAAGAATTCAATTCAATTTAATTCAGATACTAATTGAGCTAATTAATTATGTACATATTACCAACAACATTTATAAATTGCAATTTTTCCATAGTTGTATGACTGTTAAGTTTCAGATGATTCTGAGCACGAATTCTTGTAATACCAAGGAAATAAGGATTCCAATCATATGCAAATTTTCCTGAATAATTGTTAAAGGATTTGAAGCAAAACCTGTCAAATCTTGCAAATGTCCCATGCTAAGTTTTATCTGATTCTTCATATATCGTGTTCACAAATTTGCTGAACAGACAGACAGACAGACAGACAGACAGACAGACAGACAGACAGGCAGACAGACAAACAGACAGACAGACAGCACCACAACACAGGCACTCATTGACTGTCAACAGGAACTAAAATAAAATCATCTTTATGCTAATATCAAAATTGCCTTGCTCTTCAGATTTCCAGGTATAGGAGCAATTGGTATTAAACAGATAAACAATGAAAAGTACAGATATACTAGTACATTGTTTTTAAAACTGTTAATACCTACCTTGTCTTCAAGGGCTGTACACAAATGAGTTTATTGACTCTTTCTACAACACCTGCTACTGAGGCGTGCAGTTTATCATCTTCCATATAGGTTCCATGACCTCTGAAATGAACATGAATCATTGAATAAATTTGCATATATTTAATATCAGTGTTTTTTTCAATATATTTTCCAATATATGCATATATGTTGAATTAATTTTCATAATGATTATTAACCCTCCAAACACAACTTTTACCCCAACATTCTGCATACTTTCATGTAAATAATAATTTTGGACAAATTGTATGTAATTATTTAAAATCTTTTATTTAACTTGTGAAAAAAGTTGTGGATAACATTAACATGATTGAAAGACCTGTATAATGAGGATATAAATTAATATTAACAAGTTAGTTCAACATCGTCCAATCAGCAATCACAGTCGCGGTCATGGTCAAAGACAAAATATCACATCTACATACGATTGAGTGTGCAGAGTATGGGAGTAGATAGCTCTGTGTACAGGTCTGTGAATGTGGAGGCGCTCCTATTTATCGGGACCTTATCTGCGCCCCAATATTGGGGTGGCTTAAGAAGCCCAATGTAAATATCACCCCTACACAGCCATGTACGCAGGGCTAGGGAGTAGACATTGTTGAGCGCGGCTTGAATGACAAATACACAATTTGTATTAGTATGAAAGCTGAGGTTGGGTATTTACAAATATTTATAAATGCTTTTATGAACTAAGCTACAGGTTTCCGTCACGCACTGTATGCTAGATAATTTTGTTGAACTTCGCCCTGAAACTAGTTCACTTTCAATTCCGAAGTTCAAGTCTCGAAATAAACTTTATAAATTTTAACCTGGTTATATTGACCATCAACACAGAGTACATTCATTATGTACATACAGTACCATATCATTCCATTAGTCCTCCAAACACAGTCCCTAGCCTTAATTATAGATATCTACCGACAGTGTTCTAAACGTGTTTCCCCGCTACTACATTGTAATATTTATAATTGAAACAACACCGACTTCGGAAAATACAGCAGTAAATATACAGAGGAATAAGATGGGGTGTTCTATTTGTGTATCATTATGAAAAAAGGGAAAAATTTACAATCACATAATGGGACTGTCGTACCTCATAAAACCTGTGTCTGATGTTATAACATCACCCGGACTCACCAACCCTCTGGGTTCTGAAGTGAGTTCCCCACGTTTTCTCTTTCGAGGCAGACGAATATCAACAGCCATTTTGAAGTACGCCCTCGTTGGCGGACAAGGGCCACGGCGGTAGAAACCATTCTCTACAGGAAAACTCAAATTCAACCGTCAATGTTGAGTAACTTTCTTCTCATTATTTATAATACTGTCAACTACTTGACTTGATACGAATTTATTTATGTACTCAAGCTACGATTCTATTTTTGTATACAGGCGTATCTCTATACTTTGGAGCGAAATAAAAGATATGATGGACCCTATATAAAATTTTGTTTTGTCCAGCAGAGAGTCATGGGAAATTATAATCTTTTCAAGAGACGCTAAAAGCGTAAAGATACGTGTCGATTCTGGTTGTGTTTTTAGGGAAAATATTGGAATATTCAAAGATTCCAGGGCAAGTATGACATTGGACTTCGTCACAGAAGCAGACGAGAAGTTTTTTGCCGACAACTTGTTGTCACTGGACGATTGGGGTAAGTAAATGCGAAAAATCGCCTTTGGTTTCGGAAAGTATGAATTTTCTACAGCCATGCCTTCCGCATACAAACACACACACAACTTCCTGGTTTGTACTATCATCATGGAATTTACTTAAATTGATTTGAATAATATTGACAGTTCAGGTACTATGCACATTGATAATTTTACTACTTCATAGTTGATGTCGTAACACGAACAAAATAATAAAATGCATTCACCTATAACCGTTAAAAAATACCGTATGTTTGCGAGAGGCCTGTTGTATTCAAACCAACATGACCACAGAATACTTACAGTTCCTTCTTAATCGTGTTTGGGTGTCTGTCTCGGTCATTGTCGATTGTTTATTGTAATGGTATCCAAAAATAATGCAACTGCTTCTGACTGGCATGGCATGGCAAAGCTGTCTTGCCGTACTTCGTTTCAAAAAGGGAGTGTCTGTAAACATACTACAGTGTAATTGGGTTGACAATAACACAGGAGGCGTTACACGGACAACTTGTTTCGATCACCCCCGAATCCACAAATTGTGTTACAATACCATAGAGATATTTGGTTATATAATATCTGTGTGTTTATTTGAAGGTGGTCCCACAATGTGCCAAAATACATGCCTTTGTGGTATTAGACTATGAAAACAATAGAAAAGTAGACAAGAGCGTGAGAAATTTTCACATGTTTAGTAGCATATTGATAGTATTTCTTATCCACTTTATACTAGTAGTCAAGTACACGTGTCTGCGTGCAGGTACCAGCAATATTACAAAACAAGTTTATTCTCATGTAATGTGTTATGCACAAAATGAATTTATGTTCCAGAAAATGCTCTACAGTTTTAATAATTATACTTTATATTTGTTATCTCTCAGTAGTACCCATTTTGCTAATAATATTTAAATATACTCATCTGCAACACTTTACCACAATAAAAGAAAAGTAAATTACTTTAAATTGATAGTACTGTACTGCGAAGCTCGGAAAATTTCACATGCGGTAACAAATTATTAAATCAAGATCATTCCTAGTGATAACAATGTAACAGTTACAATTTGAATGGTTAGTTCAATGTCATCAGGTATTGCCTTGCTCTCAAAATTTTGTGTATAAAGCATATATCAGATGTTGTATATCTCAATATATATATATATATGGCTCTTTTTTTTAGTGATTAGGCCACACCGACTTAATTGTATGGATGACATCCACGCGCGCATTAGTTTTCGCCTTTTCTCAAAAAAAAAAAAAAAATCTCCAACGACGAGTCTCTACAGATCGGTTTTCTGTCTGGAACTTGCCGACTCATATTGTCGCAAAGCGCCGGCTTGTCGTAAAACTCTTTTTGGACTATCTAAAAACGTGCCAATTTTGTCGTAAATGATCTTCTGCACATGCGTATTGTGTTGCCAGGAATACATGAGCATAACAGTTCAGAGGAAAAACTGAGGGATTGTTGTAGACTGGTACGCAATTGACGTCGGCCAGGGAGATGTGACGTTTACACAGCTATACGAGAGATTGGTTAAAGCTAGCCCCTACGGTGTAGAGAGGAGCAAGCAAGGACATTTCTGTATCATTGCAATGTTTTGTTAGTTATTGTCATAAAGTAGTGATATGTACATTCCGCCTTGACTTGTACTGAAAATGATGTTC